AGAGGCTGGCGAGCACCCGGAGGTGGGTGACAACGCAGCAGGCGAAAGTTCCACCCCGGCACGGTGGGAGATGGAGAGGAGCAGGGGAGGCCGGGGGCGAGGTCTCACCCGAAGCTTTGAGCACCCAAGTAGCGCAGGGACGGCTTGGGATTAAACCCAGTCCCCCCAGAGCGCTGGTTTAACTGGAGGCCGCCCCCACCCTGCCCTTCCTCGGACCCAGAGGGGCAATCCCTCTTTGGGCAGGGAGCGATTCCCGGAGCCCTTGGCTCTTCGCAGGGGGCTCGTCGTCCCGCCGGAGGGGACCTCTGCAGCCGCCCCGTCCCCTCGCCTCGTCCCGGCCCTCGCAGGTCCGAGGAGCTGGATTTTGGTGTCTCTTTTCCTGGTTATTTGCTCTTCCCGGAGGAAGGGGGAGGCCGGACACCCCGCGGGCAGGCGTTGAGGCCAGGCACACGTCGAGCGCACCCCGCCACGGGGATGGGGCTGGTGGCAAACTGGAAAGAAGGGGACAAAAAGCCTCAGCCATGCTCTGCAGGGCTGGCTTGCCATGAGAGAGGACGACGGGGCGCGAGGGTTGCTTTGCAGACACCCCCCCCACGCCCTCGCTCCTGCCCCCCGCACCAAGCACCCCTCACCAGGGTAGATCGGGGGGTTACAGACCCCCGCCCCCTTTACTGAGCCTGGAGTGGGGCTCAGTAAAACTCAGGTTTGTGCTTAACCAGACAAGAGCCGGTCCAAGCCCTGCTCTAACCCAGTGTTACTGGGGCGCTGGGGGGTACGGGGATGGAGGAAGACCCGTTGCAGGCCATAGGGTGAACGGTTGCACTTTAAGGATTCAATCCTTCAGGCACCGGCAAGCAGAGTTGCCCACGGTTTGGCCTTGGGGTGCAGTCTGCCCACCCCAATTTGGGGGGTTCCCAGCACTTGCTGAGGTCCAGGGACATCTCCCTCGGCAGGGCTCTGGCAGACACGGGGTTAAAAGGCTGCAGCCCAGGCAGGACGGGAACAGGAGGAAATTGGGGGTTCCCGATGGATAAGAGCCCCCCCAGCATCCGGCATCTTCCGGAGCCTCTTTCGGG